TCTCCTGACCCATCCGCTGCTCCCCTCAGCAGTGTACTTCGTCGATCTGCCTGTTCTGCTCCCCACTTTGTCTCTGGTGAAGCCTCTCACCCTCCACAACTCTGGCCTGTACCCCAGTTCTGTATGAATAAATAAATAAAAATCTTAAAAAAAAAAATTAGTCGAAATTAATAATTACCAAATTAGTTAAAATTAGTAAAAAAAATTGAATTTATGTTTCTTTTAAAATAAAATTCTTTAAAACACTCCATTTTTAACCCAGTAGAAGCAGATGAAGTAGATAAAGATTAGTTAGAGATTTAAATTCTATCTTTCCCTGAACTCACCCAGGGGCATTCATGAGGCACTGACTCTCAGGTAGGTTTAAGGAAGAAACACACAGTGAATGTGTGATGTTTGTGCTGAGCACTGAGGAGACAATGGAGAATGTAATTTCTTCATTCTCCAATCAAGCAAATGAACAGTCCTCCCTAACCCTATTTTTCTCCCACCACGTCACTGTAACCACTTGATAGAAGTTTGTTGAGTTTCCTATTTGATAACGCTGTTTCTACCCATGTCCCTCACCTCTGCATTCCCAGTTTCTCCTAAACCCTGTGAGGTCACATTACTGTGGGGAAAGTGATACTGTTAAAGGTCTTAAAGCTGTTTTTCCCACGGTTTGTAGGATGTAAGCTCTTAAATCTTTCTCCAGGTCAGTTTAGTGTCTATGGGTCTGATTTAATTGCTTTTCAATTCCTACACACCTAGAATAGTCTTATTATTCCACTAGGGCAAACTGAAGCTGCAAAGTTAGCAATTTAACAAACAAGAAGACTACAAAGGAATAGTTTTGTCTTCTGGAAAGATGAAAATATTTCCAATATTGCAGCCTCTCTCGGCCTTTTTGATTTACCTGTTCCTGGTGATGGATGACTCACTGTATTGGAAAGCATCTGTGGAGTTATGTGATATATTGATGTGTTGGTTAATTATGTAGGCTGTATCTGGAATAATTTTGACTAATCTAAGTTATGATTTAGATTAATTTTACTGAGATTGACTTAAGTATGATATATTAGCTGAAGTTGGAGATGGATAAGTTTCATTTTATGTTTCTTTTAAAATAAAGTTCTTTAAAACACTTTATTTTTAATCCAATAGAAATTGCAATGGATAAAGATTATTTAGTTTTAAATTCTTTCTTTCAAAAAATATTTCTTGAGCATTTGTGCTCAAGTGCTAAAAATGTGTCATTAAGCAAAATTCCTCTTTAGGCCTTGTGGATCTCTTTAGAGAGAGGGGAGTTGGACAAAAAACTGGAAATGTGTATTTGAAAGTGGTGAGCATGGGCTCTGGAGTCAGCATCTCTGGGAATGATTCTTCATGCTTGCTGTTTGGCCTTTGATACAATACTAAACTTTTTTGTGCCTTGGTTTCCTTATTTGTAAACCAACTGCTCTGATACTGTGATTCAAAGACTTTTTCTCCCCCATACTTCAAGATCTCTAAAATAATGTATATCTATGGCATACTGTACTTAATTTGGAAACTTAATTAGAACATAAAATAATTATTCTTCTTGCAGTCAATTATATCTTATCTTTAATGAAATGAGGATTGTGTTTTAATGATGATGGAATGCATTGAACAGTTCTAGCAACATAGCAAGCACTCAATAAGTGTTAATTATTATTATTGTAATTGATGGGAAGTCCTTTGTGAGATGCATCTAGCAAATGCATCTAGCAAAGGACTTCCCATCAATTACAATAATAATAATTAACACTTATTGACTCTTTGCTAGAACTTCTTCAATGCCTGAATAAATGTGGAAGGCTTCTCAGGAAGTTGACATTGAGTTCATTCTTGGAAATAGGGATTTAGCTAGGAAAGGTGTCTATGAGGTACTGGGAGATGGGTCAACATGGGCAGAATTACAGGATAGGATCCCTTCCCTAATGGCAACTTGTGTAACAGCAAGTCATTCACTGTGACTGGATTAAAAAGGTGCCTGGTGAGAAATGTGTGTAGGAGCCAGAGGATAAAGAGTCATATGAAGCCATGGGCTTGACTTTACTTCAAAGGTGATAGAAAGCCATCGAATGATTGAAGTGGGAGAACAACAATCAGGTTTTCATCTTACAAAGTTTCTTCTAGATTCCTGTCACTCCCCACCTCATCATGGAGGATGTCTTAGAGGCTAACATTAGAGAAAGGAGGGCTTGGAAGGAATTTTGCCCTTATCCATATGAGAAACTATGTGGGCCTAAAAATTTGGAAAACATAGTGAATTTATGAATATTATCTGTTCAATTGTAATATTGGTTAAACTGTTATTAGATGTTTATTAAGAATTATGTTAAACCTGCCGTTCACAGGCAAGAAATAGACTTTGCATTTGTTAACATTGTATTTTTTCACATTAGATGCTGATGGAAAGTTAAGTGTGAAATTTGGGGTCCTGTTCCGAGATGACAAATGTGCCAATCTTTTTGAAGCATTGGTAGGAACTCTCAAAGCTGCAAAACGAAGGAAGATTGTCACGTACCAAGGAGAGCTACTTTTGCAAGGCGTTCATGATGATGTTGACATTGTATTGCTGCAAGATTAATGTGGTTTACATATTATCTTTGTCATTATTTTTTGTTTCTGGTAAACTGGAATATGAAGTCAAGGTCAAACACATGAGCATAATTAAGGTATTTTTCTAGGACTTTGTAAACAAAAGGAGACCATATTTTAGAAGTCTGTCCTTTTTTATATCTTAAAAATGTATGTTATTACACTATAAAATAAACAAGACCTGTTATTTTCTCAGGAATCTGCTTGGAAAATTTAGGCAATGCGGTTTTTGTAGTGGGGTGGGAAATGTTTGCTTCATTAATCATTCTTCTATAGAATATTGACATTCCATGAAAGCAAGAAGCAAACTAAAAACCATTTCCCCTCAAGGAGTATTAAAATGTTTATGTAATAAAAATATGTAACTATCCTAAAATTGCTTTATTGCCTTATTTTGTTATTTAAGTATTTACATGTCTCTCAGAATTAAGTTTTTGCATAAAGGTTAGGTGTTCAGTAAAAGTTAGCCTAATTTAAAAATAAATTCTCTTAAAACTACAGAATTTTAAAAGTAGGGTTGGTTAGTTTTTTTTTTTTAAATAATATTTATTTCTTTAAGCATACAAGAGCTCAGGTATAGGCCAGGAGTGTAGAAGGGTAAGGGGGTTTACCAGAGACAGAGTGGGAAACAGAACAGGCAGATTGACAGAAATATACTGCTGAGGGGAGCAGCAGGTGAGACAGGTGTGGTCTGCTGCACCATGTGGGTCACCTCCCTGATTGGGGATTGAATTCATGCTGCAGTGGCTGCTGAGACTTAACCCCTTGTATCACCTGGGAGGCTTCTGGGGTAGCTATATGATCAGACACTATAAAAAACTAAATGTCAAGCCTATTATGAACTGAACACAGAGTTTGGAGACATATCAAGAAACACAGCCTAAAATCTTCACTTTCAAATTGGATGAATTTAAACTCACATGAAACAATATAAGGATTGCCTATGATTGCATATTACAGCCAATAACATGATGTAGACTCTCAAGGAGGGTAAAGACAGTGAGAGCCACAGTGATGAGTTAAGATATTGCAGAGGAGGTTCAATTGCATCAATGAATGAACGGAGCTGAATATCCCAAAGGAAAAATATGGGATGGTGAGGGTGATGAGGTAGGCAAAGATACACAAATTAGTAGGGTATGAACTGTGAAAGGTTATAGATTCAGGTTGACTGGAATGTCAGGGAGAAAGGTGTAGATAATTAGGTGGAATGAGAAGTCAGGGAGAGGTGTCTGTTCAGAATTTGGAGCAGGGAAGTTCCATGATGAATATAATGTTTGTTGAAGGTTATTCTAATACTGGTAACTAGAGTGGATTGTAGAGAGTGAAGATGTAGTTAGACAAGCTAGCTAAAGCCTTGCTCAAGAATCTAATCTGGTTGATGGCAAGGCAGAGAAAGGGTAGACTCTAGGAACATTTTGTAAAGAAATTAAGCTCTTAATATCCTTTCTATTGTAACATGACCCAAATTCAAACTAGGTTAAACAACATAATTCACTGCTAACATGAACATTTATTATGTTCATCTTCATATAGCCTGTGAGGTAGGTATTAATATGATCTTGCATTTTATAGATGAAAAGAGAAACAGAAAAGTAATTTGCTCAAGTTCACCTTGAGTTGGAATTTTGATATTTGACTCATTTGAATGGCAAATCCAGGGGTGAGATGGAATTCAGGCCTGGCTGGCTCCAGGACTCAAACTGTATTTTCAAAATTCTCTAACTTCCCATATTGGCTCTAAAGATTTGTTTGCTTCATCTCAAATTTTCTTCTCTACGTAGGCTTTCTTATGTAGTTAGATGCCTGCTGGTAGTTGCAAATTGAAATACTGTTAAGTTAGCAACCATAATGAAAACAATTTATTGTATTTATTACAAATTTTAAGAACAGAACTTTGACCCATTTTATAACAAGAACTGAGCCCCTTCCCATTAAAATGAGATAAAATGAAATGCCAAGTCTGAGTCACTTGCTTGTTTCCAAGTAGGGATGGGATGGTGTAGGATCAGATCCTCATTTTAATAGCATTTTTAGAGTGTTCCCTAAAGGACGGGATGCTGACGCCATGAGAACAACATGGACTCAATATGGATGTGGGAGACCCTTCTTGATTTTATTTTTTATTTATGTCTTTTCCATTATTTTGTACTCTCCATAAATTCCCACCACCAGTTCACCTGTGAACCTTCACCATAATCCCTTGTGCTCTTCTCTCCCCTGTTTTGATCCTTTTCCCTTCCCCTCCCTTGCAGAATGTCACTTATTTATGGCTGCCTGCTAGTTTATTGTTATTATTATTTTTTCCCCCTGGTCCCGTATTTGGTTCCCCTACTTTCCTTCTATAAGTAAAACCATTTAATATTTTTCTTTCACCTTCTGGCTTATTTCACTGAGCATGATCCCTTCTAGGTCCATCCATATTGCTGCAAATGATGTGTTTCTTTTTTGATTGCTGAATAGTATTCCATCGTGAATATATTGATCCAATCATCTATTTTTGGGCATTTGGATTGTTTCCGTATCTTACCTATTGTAAATAGTGCTTCAATAAACATAGCAGCACAGATATCTTTTTGAATTAGTGTTTTTGTGTCCTATGGGTAGATTCCTAGGAGTGCAATTGCTGGGTCATATGGGAGCTCCATGTTTAGTATTTTGAGGAACCTCCACACAGCTTTCCATAGTGGCTGGACCAGTTTGTATTCTCACCAGCAGTGTAGGAGTGTGCCTTTTTCTCTACATCCTTGCCAACATTTGTTGTTTACTGCTTTTTTTTTTTTAAAGATTTATTTATTGATGCATTCAGAACTGGGGTACAGGCCAGAGGTGCAAGGGTGGTGAGAAGATTCACCAGAGACACAGTGGGGAGCAGAACAGGCCAACTGATGAAGTATACTGCTGAAGGGAGCAGAGGGCAGATCAGGAGAGGTCTGCCACGCCAGGTAGATCACCTCCGGGGTGGGAATCAAACTCTTGCTGAAGTGACTTTAGCTTCTTAGTGTTGTGCTTTAACCTGCTGCACCACCAGGGAGGGCTGTTTCCTGCTTTTTTAATGTGGGCCATTTTTACTGGTGTAAGGTGATATCTCATTGTGGGTTTTGTTTGCATTTCCTTTATTATAAGTGATGTTGAACATTTTTTCCTTATACCTGTTGGCCATTTGCATTTCCTTATTGGAGAATTGTCTTTTTAGCTCTTCTGCCCATTTTTTGACTGGAATGTTTACTTTGTTTTTGTTGAATTTTGTAAGCTCTTTGTAGATTTTTGTGATCTGTCCCTTATCAGTTGTATTGTGTACAAAAATTCCCTTATTAGAGATCTTTTGAAGGAGGAATCCATTCATCCTTGGAAAAGATAATTGAGAAGGAATATCCAAAAGTAGTTTACCATATGTAGCTCCAGACTCAGAATAATGCAATAACAGATAGGGAAATCGAATAAAGCAGGAAAGTTGGTGCAGGGAGAGTTGTTCCATGGTGATGGTGAATTGAAGGTGTTCTGAATGGGAGTGAGTAGTAATCAGGCGAAGATTTCATTTGGTAAAGACAGAAGCGGAGAATCATGGTTCAAGACTGATTTCCATCTCAAATTTGATTTGTTTGATTTGTTTCCATTATTTAATTTGAAATTTTAATTTTCAGGCACTTTGAAAATACCAAATACATATAAGCTGCAGTTTTTGTAAAAACCTGAACTGAGAAATTAAAGCAATTTTTAGAGGAAAACAATTTGCAAATCTCATGTCTGCTAGAATTTTTTTTGAGAGGAGGCTGACTCACGTAATTAGAGATTTTTGAAAATCTACAGAAGTAAACTGAAATAGTTATTCAACTTATCACTATGTGTTTAGTATCTTCATGATGAGTTATCAAATGAAGTTTCAAAATTTCAAATACAGGTAAAATTTGATAAATATCTTCCAGAGAAAGTACAAACATGTCATAGCACTTCTGACATTCATTATTCAGTTTTATGTATTTTCCTTTGGTTACAAGATGGCCAATTCCTTTGCAATGACTTTGTGTATGGGTAGTTATCTTTTATTTAGATCTTGGTCTAAAAAAAATCAAATCATAAATTTTACTTGTTTTGTGCCAAATTCATATGAAAATAATGTCTAATGGTCATATACTACATTTTGGTAAATTTTCTCAGTAATAAGTGCCATTGGCTTATATTGGTAAGGGGAAATTAGATATGAACAATTGGACCCAAATGATTCTATATTCATACAATAAAAATGTATATATTTTAGTTCATTTAGATTAGTGTGCTAGATATCTGGGGAAGCCAACACATAGCAAAATAAGAATGAATAAAATTTTATTGCAGTCATTTAAGAGAAACAAACAATTTGTATGACATACATTAAATACAGGAAAAGCCTCCAATAAATGATAGAGGGGTACAGATACAAAAATTGTTCTAGGTCAGGGAGCCTGGGATAAAATTTGTCTTGAAGCTTTAGAATCATCAAGAAGTACTTTGCTAGTCAACTTGTTACTGTTAACAAAGCTCGAGAAAACAAGTCATAACAGGTAAGAGGAAAGGGGAGTTTTGAGAGGTGAAGCTGGACAAGATTGGAGCAATTAGCATATATCTAACAGCCTTCACCAAAGTTCCCTTAAAATATTTTTTCTATAGTTGTTTTAGTGAACAATTCTGTCTTATTAGTATGTTTTAAGCTTCATCAAAGTGTCATTTTGTGTGTTGAGATTATACAGAATAATCTATAATTATAGCTATCCTTATAGTGACTGATCACTGAAAAATTGATTAACCATTTTTGCATACTCAAAACTTCCTTATGTTGCCATTATAGAAAAGCCAAGTACGTCTTTGTGTTCTGGAGGCACAATTTCAAAATAGGCAAGGAGATGCTGATTTGAGAAATTTGTCTCCATGGAGCATTAATTACCTAGTTGAACATCCCAAATTTTCTTGCTGTCTGAACCGCTTCCTATGGTCACAGACAATAAGGAGAGAAACACCTGTGGACTGAGAAACAGAATACCAACATGTGACTACAAAAATATAAGTCTGCTTTGCTTTGCAGCAGGCAATATTGGACTTATTAATTTATGGCCTCATATATCTAGAAAGAGTC